TAATTGAACCCGCTATGCACTAGAAAAAATAATATCTCAAGATTGAATAGAGACTGCCTAATTTTTGAAAGGCACGAACTAAATTATCAGATCACTCAAAACTTCAAAAAAAAATTTGAAAAAATTCATCTATTGATTCTTAAAAGGGTTCCAAAATTTCATATCCTAAAACATTCTCCTAAATAGGTATTTTGAAAGAGTGGATGCATAGCATATCTACTCATTTCGAATGAATATAATGGAGATAAATTAGAAAAAGAACGGCTACTGAAGGAAGGAAAATTTATCAAAATACCTATTAAAGATAAAGTATTTGACACTATACCCATTAGCAACTATTTTAGTTTAAGGTAATATATTTATTTGAGGTGTTTTGAAATTAAATTAAAAGAAATGAATAAAACACTAAATTGTTTATCTCTCTTAGGTAATTGGATAAATTTGCTTTAAAAGAAAAATCTCCGGTTACCGAAGGACACTACGTTGAGTATATCCTCCCAGTGCCCCTCTTGCAAAGATGGTACACTGAGGAGTCCCACCTCTTTTAGTGTTTTTATTTACTTCTGGAGTTACAATAATTCAATTGTACTTTTTTTAACATAATAATTCAGTTGTACTTTTCCTCATCTTCCAAAACTGAATTAGAATATTTAAATCACTCTTTCCCTGTGATGAGGCCGCTCGCACAGGCGAGTTACTCAAGACTCGACATGGTAGCAGTCTGAGTAGGAACCGACCAAACTAGACCGGTTCCTGTACTACTACTTTACAGACTCGACCGAGTCTCTTGGAGTCATGGATGGCTTGGATTTGGAAAGAACTCGTACTGAAGCACGTGTAAGCCATTGAAATAATGGCCATAATTGGCATCTACGAAAGAGTGAGGTAAGGACACAAGAATCACGCTACAAACTTTCTCATGTGCGGGAATTCGCTTTCCCACGCACCCTAGCTTGCTTCTGGAATACTAGTGTTCCGACCACAGTCAGCAAGTCGTGAACTATCAATAAGTCGGCTCAGCATATAAGAAGTCGGATGAAAAAATCGGATAGAAAATACGATTGGCAAAAATATTCATATATAGATATCACTAATATATCGGATTAGGCTCAAAAAAATTAGAGTAAAAAAATTGGATAAATTTATAATATTAAAAAATTTAAAATTCTAAAAAATAAAAATTATGTCAAAGCTATCAATAACTAATTCATTTATAAAAAATTTACTAGACTAATATAATTGAGTCAATTAATTTAGATATCTAGTGACTCTCATCCAATCATCTAATATTAAATACATAATTAACTAGTATATACCAACAAAAATGTACCATATAAATCTACCCATTAAATATTTTAAGAAACATCCCACCAACTTATTACATACCAAAAACAAATATATTATATAAATTTATTCATTAAATACTTTAACTATAGTATGGTGACATATATACTATAAAAATTCATTAAATACTTAAAACATCACACCTACTTAGCTGGTACCAAAAAAAAGTTAACGATTATTTTTTCTCATTACAATGATTTAACTGTAGTATGGTGACTATGTCACTACATAACTATAGTTAAAGTTTTATAAATTTTTTTAATTGAAAATAGGGTCTTAGAAATTTGGGTTCCATATATTTGTGTTTAAGGTTTAGAGAGAGAAATGACGTGGAAGAGGCTCATGGCCATTAAGGTTTATAGAGAGAGTAAAAGGAAGTATAGAGAGAGTAAAAGGAAGTAGGAAAAGCTCATCGGCTTTGGTTTATAGAGAGAGAAGAAGGAAGAATGAAGAGTTCATCGGCTTCACAAACCCTAATGGAAAAGGCCCTAACTGATTTTTAGAAATAGAAAAGAAAAGGAAGATAGGATGCTGATTTGGGATAGTTTGAATAGGATTTTTTTCTCTGATTTGAGTTGTTGTTATTTGAAAGAAAGCCTTAATTATACTGCGTTGTTATTTGAGAGAAAGTCTTAATTATACTGATTTGTGAAGAGGCCCTAACTGATTTTTTGATTTGTGAAGAGGCCCTAACTGATTGTAGAGAGAGAAAAGGAAGAGGGTTTTTCATTTGTTGGGGAAACAACAAGTTTGGGGGATTGCTTGCTCCTGTAAGTTTACAATTTACACTATATTGTTTATCTTTGTTATCACATAATCAAAAACATGTACTCACACTCTCTGCTTCTCATTCATCAATAAAAGATTATGTTTTGAGCTCTAATTTGTGCCATAAACATTATTTTCATAAAAACAATTATCACAAATAATAACAAAAATCTGCATATATATGATTTTCTTTACACAATGATTCACTTTACGAAATGATTTGCTATAGACAATGTTATTTCATTTGCACAATGATTTTCCATAATAACAACTTTGTTTAAATTTTTTTTTAAAAAAAAAAAAAAAAAATTTAGACTTTCAATCTGCAATTGTGGCTTTGAAGAACATAGTGATGATAAAAATTTCTATTTTAGGTTTTTTTTTAAATAATATTTTTTTTCAAAAGCATGAAAGTAACAATGGCTGCAATACACAAAACAAGGGGGAAAAATTATAGGTAAAGAAAGATACGATTTTTTGGCCAAATTTAAATCGAATTATGAAAAACTCAAGTTTTAAACGTTTTTTTATGAAAAGTACACGATTTTTTCACAACCTTTTCAAAAGGTCGCCGTTAAAAATTGCTTCCATAAAAATGCCGATTAAACAGCGATTTAATAACTATGGTTTCACTTAAAAAGTCCAAAATGCCCTTCTGTATCATTTGATCTTCAAGTAATATAGGAACAATAAAAATAAAAATACAGTTCACAAAGGTCTCTAATTTGAATTTATGTAATTTGGTTGTTAAACCTAAAAATCCACATATATATATATATATATATTATATTATATTATAGAAGTAACATACACTTCAAAAATCCAGTAGATGATATTGTTCTAAAGTTGGAAAAGGTTTTGATTTATCATCTCGACCTCGAGATAGATCGATATAAAGAAAATCATTCAAGTCCTCAAAATTGATGCATCTATTTTCAAGATTTTCAAACGTTTATAGGTCTGCATGATCTCTATTGTATTCATTTTTTAAAATTTAATAATTAGAATTAAAAATAGATTTTTTAAGCCATTATATGGTTTCAGACACAGAAAGTACATTTTCCAGCAAAATTTAGAGCCGCCTTATTTGTAGAGTACAAGGTGGGCATCTTACAAACGTCACCCTTTGTGTGTCATATCAGCCCTGAACCATTAGCTAGCCACCCTTACAGCACCCCTTCTTCTAAATCTGTTTTGACCCCAAAATTTCAAGGATGATCCTAAAAAGAGTGGATCAAACAAAATTTAGAAGAGGAAAGATTTTTCAGCACATCGAAACCAGAACCGCAATGCCCGAATAGATCTTTAACAATGCTCCAGTTTCTCTCTCCTCTAAACACCAATGTTTAGTCTTTCTTTTCAATTTTTCATGGGCATATTCGCTACGATCAAGAGGATGTGTGCAACAAAATTATCTTACCTGGCCTTACAAGGCCTATTTGTTCCCTCCGGCATGGACCAGCAAGTCCTGGTCCGCCCTAAACCAAAAATTTAGTGAACTTGGAAAATTTTGGCTTGGCATCCCTACTGGGTGGAAATGCCTCATCATTTGCCATATACTGTATAAAGCAAGGGCCAATTTTCTCATGATATTGTACACGAAAGGTAATGAAATATTTGCAGGGGCTTCTTTAACTTTTAAACCCGTGCTGTGCAGGAGCAATACTTTACTCGGGAGGAATTTTATACACAATTTTTTCGGATCCACATGAGAATATTTTTTTCAAAAAAACAAATTGAAATTTTGACTTCTGCAAGGACATAACCCTCCGAAAATTGGAGAGTCTCTAAAAACGTTTCCTTTGAAATTTTGAGTTCATCAACACATGGATCTCACCCTCAGAAAATTGGAGGGTGTCAAAAAAACGTTTCTCAAAGAAACATGAAGAATGAGATTTGGACGTCGTCTTTTTTTGAAATTAGCCTGAGAGTTGAAAGGGCCACATCCACAAACACAAAATTTGGGGTGCCACAAATACCGCTGGATTTTACTCGAAGGGGTAAATGCACAGTATGCTCCCTCAAGAATATGAAAGCTTTGGGCATCTTGCCATCTTACGGTAAAAACTCGTCTTGTGCACTCAGTTCCATGTGACCTATATACACCACAAGGAAGACTTTGTATGTGCGACTGCTTGTACAGTGGTGGTACATGATCACTTCAAAAACCTCATTACAAGGATTTTTTGGGATCTTCCTTGATTCAATTTGTAACCAATTTCAAAAACAATAAAATTTATTTTGAGCTCCCAAAATTCAAGTGCCCATCATCCATAAAAGGACGTTCCAGAAATCATTTTCAGACAGTGCAGATATAGAGTTTTAAAAGCTCAAAAACATTTGGATCCGGTTTCTATGCGGCCCGCATATGTAGAAATGCAGGCCTAGTAATAAATCTATTTTTGAGATGGATTTTTTTACTTAATTTTTAAGGACATTTAATCTCTAACATGAAGATCATGAATATGGAAAAATGAACAAATTTTAAAACTAAAAATAATAATTCTAATAAAAAAACATTCGCACCGTTAGTTTCCATTGTTTTTGGATAGAACACCTACTTGCATCCATCTTAATCTTTAAGACGGATGCTTTACACTTTTTGGACCGCATATGTAGTCATGCGGTCCAGCCCGCATGAAAAAATTTTCTAAAACATTTTGTTTTCCCTCTTTTTTTGGTAAACCAAGCAAATATTGCATCTGGCGTAGAGGAATGTAAGGACAGGCACAAAAACAGTCTATCCTGCAAATTGCACATAATTATGGAGATAAAAAACATTGCGTGAAGCCTGGAATATCTCCACCGAAATGGAAATTTGACAGTGGAGGGGTGATCAGGGCATTTAACCCCATGCACCAAGTGCAGATGATCTTTTCCCTTCACTGGTTGCGACTTGATATATAGGACTTGTATATCTAGTAATACAGTCGATGCAAGAACAGTCAGAATCATCACAGACAAGATTTACACCAATCAAATCTCCCCCAAAATTGGGTTCATCCTTACGTACCAAAATGTTTGAGAAAAATAGTTTGCGACTGCCCCCCACCTTTTCTCTCAATACAAACAAGACAAACCAAAACCAGCTGAGTTTAAAAATTTACGACACAAAAAATAGTGAGAGAGAGGAGCAAGAGAGTGCAAATAAATCAAAACTACTTGCTCACTTTTATGAGTGACCTATAGTGCTGTGGGTATAAATCTGAATCACTTGCTCACTTATACGAGTGACCTATAGTATTGTGAATTTTGGTAACTTGAATATTCTTGCTTAACCACAGAGAGAGAAATTTAGGACCTGAGAGCAACTGCAAGGCCAAACCTGGTGGAACTTACAGTCTTTGGATCCATTTCAGCAGAGAAGGTCATCAAGGATTTTGGCCTCCACTGCCTTTGGCAGAGCATAGCTACCTTCCCATCGTTACTGAACCGGGTTTTGACCATGGTGTAAGGATCCACAAAATGAGAGCTACCAATGGTGAAATTATTTTCGTATGTTGTGAGCTTGTGGGAAATCTCAGCAGCAACAGCAGTTCCATTGACTGGATTCACAGTGTGAAGATATGAAGCCTTCAAAGTCTCCCCCTTGTCGGCTCTGCACAATGGAGATTTAACTGGTTTTTAGTCTTTCAAGTCTAAGACTTTATAAAGCTTACAGGCATGGGATTCCTATAAATGGGAAAATAAATCTTCGTCTTTCACATTTGAAACTTCATAAAGCTTATAGTTGTGGGATTCCTATTAATGGGAAAATAAATCTTCAAAATGCTTATCTTATAAACAGGCTTCACGACCAAAATGTAATGGAAGTTTCTAAAGAGCACTATAACTACAATTGCAGCAATATAGTAATGGTCTGTGCCAAATGAAGAATTTGATGAGTATCAAATTAACATATAAATTAAGCAAAAGCAGCTTATACACGATTCATGAATGACAGACAAGACTAATATGCCCTTGAGTACAAGAGGACCACAAATGGATAAATGTACTAAATCATGCTTACATTTTTTTATAAACCAAACATGGATGGTTCTATTTTGTTGTATAAATCAAGATCTGAGTCAATAACACAATATTTTCAGTAAATTCACAGCTGCCCAAGCAATATAATGATGCTTCAAACTGGCCAACATATTGAATTGTCCCCAAATTTATGAGGAAAGAGCTAAGCCAAAGCAATGGAATTTCAAGTACAAAACATGTTTAGATGATATGGCAACATAATGCTAGAATGTGCAAGTTATAGAATAGAATTTTCATTTATACTTTATCCACATACCAGCCATAGAAAACAAACAAACTGCTTATTTGACCATTTTTTATAATTAAACTACTTCTCTCAGCAGTAGAACTTCAATGCACATATTGCTGCATTACCACGGACTATAATAAATATATGCAAACTAGAAGCACTTTCAATGAAATTTCAAATGAAGAACCAAAACAAACTAGACATACACCATAAGAGCTGCTGAGTAATCTTCCTTGGTTAAGCCAATGCCCACATTATACTTGGTTAGGGAGGCAGTAGCCGTGTCAAATGCAACCTCACCACCGAGACTCACCTCCCCATTGCCCACAGCTGCTGAAAATTCGAGCAGAGGGGTGGGTGTCAAGCCAATGCTTGAATTGATGGCTGCACGGTCATGGAGGTACTGCACTTCGAGCTGAGGCGAAAGGTATAAAGAAATCAAGATTGATGAGTAATGGATAAAAAGTAAAAACAAATAAATAAAAGAAGTGAAAACATACTGTAATCAATGGACAATGGGAAACCGTGGTACATATGGGTCACCACGCACATCTAAAGGGTGCCTAGTGATGGAAAGAGAGTGCAGAACTCACAATCACGGTCATATCCTGATCTATCTGGAACCTCTCTCTGCATCATCCAGCATTTCACTAAGGTCAGACCCCAATAACTATGATTTTCCATAGCCCATTAGATTGTAGTATAAATGCTCATATAAAAGACGTAAGAACTTCTACTTCACACTCATACGGAACTACCGACTTTGCCTGACTTGTGGTCTGGTATTTTAAAGCTGAGTGCTGTCTTTGAGCTAGGAAAAATTTCGTTGACAGTGATCGTGCTCGTGATCTACAAAAAAGCAAAAGCAAAAGTTAAACAATAAAAATAAAAAGGTGTTAGTTTTGACAATCAAAAAAATGAAAAATAAAAAATAAAAAAATAAAGTGTTAGTTTTATATAGTAAAAAAAAAAGCTCTCGCTGCCTCCCTCACACTCACAGACAGAAAAAGTAAGGACAAACGTAATGCATGACCATACAAGCAAGAAAAGAGGAGCAGAAACACAATCAGAAGCATGTGCACACATCAATATAGAATTAATGCAGCGTCTTCAAAACTGACCAAGCTATAAAAGCAAGCATAGTTCATTCGACGAAATGACCCTTACATTACAATTGGTATCCACTTTCACATCTACAGTGGTATTTCCACTCTTGTACTGTGTGCTTAGATCTCCAGTAAAGAATTGCCCCCTCTTCAATCCGGTAGTTGTAAGTGCCTGCCAGTATACATTCCAGTACATTCAGGACAAGAGAACCAACATGTATTCTCCTACAAACAAGTAACACGTTAGTAAAAACTAAAAAGTGCACACACACAAATACACTTACTAATAATGCATGCTATTGCACAAAAGTGTCGGGACAATAATTAAACAATTCAAATAAATAAAAATAAAAACTATTTCAAAATTTAAATGCACCTTAGAATTGCACAGAATCCAACTCCTATGACAACCTTTAAACAATTAATAAAATCTTAAGGCTGATCCTAAAGAGCCCCATGCCATTATAAAACAAATATTAATTCTACAGGTAATAACAAATCTTCCACGGATTCATGTCTTACCAGCCCATTATCACTTAACATTGTCAATGTAAACTTCTCATCATAATTGTAGTCTCTAGTTAGGAGATCTGCATCAAAGCCAGCAGTTTCAAGTTCAGGAGAGGAACAATTAATAGGCAATTATACAAATGCAAAAGTACTACAGTTAAAATATGTCAAATTATCATAAGCAAACACACATCTATAACCAAGCAAGTTTCTTTTCAGAAATAACCTTAAGGTTCCCAAGTTAGGACTCAGGAATAACCTTAAAGATTTCCAAGTTACAAACAAAATGATGAAGGGACATACCACTCTCTATGTACAGAATTTGCACTTTTACGGTAAGAGTCAGTGAATTAAAAGGGAAGGAGGTCAGGGGGGCCGAAAACAATTGCTAGGCCATATTCAAATAGATCAACTTAAAAACTCACTTAGCAATTAGCATAGCTCAAGATATAGATTCAACTAAAGCTATTAGAACAATCGATCCCAGCTTGGCCTTGAAATTTTATGTCTTAATTTTGTTAGTAGATTTCCCCATTCTGAATGATCAGAGAAGACAGAGAAAACTTTGCTGACATAGTGAAGCTAATGGCATTAAATATCAGGAACAGGTTCATCCCTGAGACAGAAGTATTAAAAGCCATAGGAGCAGACTTAGAGTCCCAACATAGAATGCTACAAAGGATGAACAAATATACAAAAAATATTTAGAAGGAAAAGCCCTATCATAACCCTGCAGCTGAGAGCGAAGAGGAGAAACCCCAGATTTCTAATAACTAAATTCTAAATTGACAACTATATACTAACGAGTTAATTGCTACATCTGTACATCTGTGCAGTTAATGTGAACTTCTCTTCAAAACTACGGTCTCTAGTTAAGAGATCTGTATCAAAGCAAGCAGTTTAGATCGCAGGGGTGGAACACTTCATTGCACTACAGTTAAAATATGCCAAATTATCATAAGAAAATACGCAAATATGACCGTGCAAGTTTCCTTTCAAGAAGAACCTTATGTTCTCATGGTACACACAAAATGATAACAAGATGTGTCACTATATGATCAGAGTTTGCATTTTTATGGTAAGTAGTCGGTAAATTAATTAATAAATCAATTAGTTAACTAAAGAACTAAAAAGGATTGCTAGGATATCCTCAAGCAGAACTACTTAAGACTTCACTTAATATATAAGGTGTAGATATCAGTCAAGTAACATAGATTTAACTAAAGCTATTAGAATAATCGAATTCCAGATTAGAGTAGAAAGTTCTTATGTATCCATTTTGTCATACCAAATAAAGTGGATTTTCCTATTCTGAATGTCAGAGAAGACAGAGAGAGCTTCACTGACAAATTAAAGCAAATGGGATTAAATATCAGGGAACAGTTCATCCCTGAGACACAGGTATTGAAACATAGGAGTAGATATCCAGTCCCATTATAGAATGCTATAAAAAATAAATAAATATACAAAACATATAGAAGGAAAGCCCTATCACAAACCTCCAACTGGGAGTGAAGAAGGAAAACCCCAGATTTCTAATAACGTGATTCTAGTGTGACAAATACATAGTAATGAGTGAATTGATACATTTGCACAGTAAATGTAAACTTCTCTGTCATAAATGTAGACTGTAGTTAAGAGATTCCATCAGAGCTGGCAGTTTCAGGTTCAGGAGAGGAACAATTTATTGGCAATAATACAAAACAAAAGTGCTACAGTTAAAATATGCCAAATTCCCAGAAGAAAACATGCATATATAATCATGCAGGTTGCATTCAGGAATAACCTTAAGGATCCCAAGTTACAAACAAAATGATAAAGGGATATACCACTATGTGATCAGAGTTTGAACTTTAATGGCAAGAAATCAGTAAATTAAAACCAAAAAAAAAAGGATTCCAGTCCATCCTCAAGAAGATCTACTTAAGACTTCACTTAATATATCAGACACATAAATTAGCAGAAGCAACATCGATTCAATTAAAGAAAATTTGAATCCCAGCTTGGAGTTCAAAGTTCACATGTATTCATTTTGTTGTACAAAATAGAGTGGATTTTCCCATTCTGAATGATCAGAGAAGACAAAGAGAGCATCGCTGACAAAGTGAAGCTAATGGGATTAAATATCAGGGACCGATTCATCCCTGAGGCACAGGTATTATAAGCCATAGGGGCAGACGTCCAGTCCCAAAATAGAATGCTATGAAAGAAAATAAATATATGAAAATAAAGAGAACAAAAGGCTCTATAACAACCCTTTAACTGAGAGCGAAGAAGAGAAACCCAAAATATTTAATAAATAATAACTTGATTCTAATTAACAAATATATACTAATTGGTCAATTGCTACATTGTGCAGTCAAAGCAAACTTCTTTTCACAATTGTAGTCTCTAGTTAGGAGATCTGCGTCAAAGCAAGCAGTTCCAGGTTCAGTGCAATACTTTATTGCCAATTACACAAAAGTAAGATTACTACAGTTAAAGTGTGCCAAATTATCATAAGCAGACATGCATATAAAAGCGCAAGTTGCCTTTCAGAAATAACCCTAAGGTTCCCATGTTACCAACAAAATGATAAGAGGATGTGTGACTTTGTGATCAGAGTTTCTACTTTATGGTAATAAGTCAGTTCATTATAAAATACAAAAATAAAATAAAAAACTCAAAAGGATTGCTTGGCCATCCTCACGCAGATTAACTTAAGACTTAGTGTATAAGACACAGACATTAGCTCAAGAAACATAGATTCAACTAAAGCTATTAGAACAATTGTAGCCAGCTTGGTGTTGAAGTTCTTCTGTATTCGCTTTGTTAAACCAAATAAAGTGGATTTTCCCATTATGAATGATCAGAGAAGACAGAAAGGGCTTCCTGACAAAGTGAAGCTAATGGGATTAAATATCAGGGACTGGTTCATCCCTGAGGCACAGGTATTAAAAGCCATAGGGGCAGACATTCAGTCCCGATATAAAATGCTATAAAAAATAAATAAATATACAAGAATACAGAGAAGGAAAAGCCCTGTCACAACACTGCAACTGAAAGTGAAGAGATGAAAACCCAGATTTATAATAACTTAATTCTGATTTGAGAAACATAAATTAATGAGTCAACTGATACATTTATGCAGTCAATTTCTTATCCAATTGAATATTAACAAATATAACCTGTATCAAGATCCTTCTTTATTGTAAAGTCATGTAGGTGAACTACAGACTAAACTTTTTTGTGTTTTATAAAATTTATAACCCTAAACGTATTCTGGGGTTTTAAATCATATATCCTCTCAGCAAATGCATAATACCAAGATGGCCATGTCCAAGATGAGAAAGGGAATCTTCAATAAACCGAAAAGGACACTTGGGGATATGCATTGGAGCACTTCTTGCAGAGCAGCAATGCTGTTACTGATAAATCTATGTCTACATACATTTTCCAAACTTCGAAAGTACTCAGTCATAAGGAACAATAATAAGAATTTTAAAAAAAAAAAAAGTAATATGGAACAGCTAAAGAAAATATATCAGCTTTCTTTTTCATTTTTATCAATGAAAGCAAGTATATCAGCTTTCTCATATCTATTCAGGTTTTTTTGGGCAAATTATTCAAGTGCAATTTGAAGATGAGTTGCGATTACAACAGTTAACATTATCAAAAAAAAAAAAAGATGAGTTGTGATTACAATTACACAAATATGCGAATGAATTAGAGACAAGACAGATTGGCAAGCAAATTTATGGTATAACACACTTGGGTTTTGATCCAGCATGGCAGAATAAAATAAAATATGACCGTGTCATTTTTTTTTTAAAGTGAAACGAATTTGTCTTTAATCTTTAGCAATGATATGCAAACTTATAAATCATCACAGATGCAAGTTCCTCAGGCTATATAAAGCACTACCAAATACAATATAACCATGACGATTAGCACAATCACAGAATCACCAATATTTACATCGGCAACAATTTAGAATAGGGAACTCATAGCATACTAGTATATTGTTCATTTATTACATGAGTACATGCAATTTCCATCCTGCATTCTCATAGAAGGGTGGTGCAAATAAACTGATCTGCTGCTTCACTGGGCATTGGCAGAGGAACAATTAATCTCCACTGTGGTCACTGGCACAGGTGGCGGAGATTACATACAGTGTACAAATAATATACTACATGTACTATAGTAAACTCTTTTCAGAAGAAATGGTCCCCAAACTCAGGGATAATAAAGTTAGATCCTTTCAATTTTTTTATATAATTAGATATCGAAACCAGGTTTAAACTTTTGAAGAACGGAAACAAAATACACCAACTAAATAGTAAGTACAAAACCACAGCTACTGAAAAGTGAAAAGCCAACAACTGGTACAAAAGAATAATTTCAGTGTAAAACAAGCGCAGAACAATTTCATGCTCCAAAATCAACATTGTTTTCGTAAAATACAGACACCCAAAATTTTAAGTTTTCAATCAACAACGTAAAACAAGATGAAATACCTCTAGCTTTCTTTCCAATGTCTGAGAATGGTCCGGGACCCTTGGCCATATTTAACAGTTGCAACTGTAAAAGGTATGCTTCTATCTGTCATTAATATGACCAAGTATAACTTACTATGCTACTTCTATGGAAACAAGATAATGTCATAAAATGAATATAAATATAAGCATGCATTAAAAGAATAGAAATCATAAATTTTCCCATCTTACTATACCAAATTCGTGTCATCCTCCACTCACATAATTGCAATTTTATCCCATTATAATAGGCTTCTAAAATAGACTTCTGCTAATCATGCATATGTCCTAGTTGTTTTCAGTCACTGTCCCCAAATATGCATTAATTCTATGGATATGCTAATCCATTGAATTAAGCAAGATCGTATGGCTATGTGAGTCATGGAATACCAACTTTAGAATGTAAGAATGGGAAAAGCAAATTTACACAGAGAGGAGAGAGACAGATATGTATAAGAATTTCTCAATTTCTCATAAGAAATGGAAGAGCAAGCTTCATATGGTGATTCTTTTGAGATGCACAGTTTGTTCCAATGACTGACCAACATTACCTCTAACCAAACACAAAGTCTTCAGACCCATATATCTTTCAGGCCATCAAAATGAACAAGCTGCCAACCCTTTCACTAAAATGTGCATTCCATATCCTTGCTTTTCAGGTACTTATAATCATCATATATAAAATATAATAATAACACACGAAACTCAGCAATGTCCAATATTTAAACCTCCCAATATATAATCTGACAATAAATCATATTACATTTTGAATTAGAGGAATTCCAATAGTTATTGAGAACCTAGCAATCATTTTCCAAACTCATCAAACAAAAGTTTGGGTAACTAAAATCTTCCATGTTGGCAATGTTTGTGCACAAATACTTATACTATGGTTTTTTCTTTTTCTTTTTTTTTTTTGGGCTGGGGGGATTGGGAGGGGTGGGGGAGGGTGGGGTAGGGGGTATGGGTCTGTGGGGTGTTGGTGGGGAAGGCCTCAATTCCAAAACCACAAAGAGCACTATAAAGCCCCTCTAATGCCCAAAAAAACACTTAAGCTTAAACCTACGACCTCACAAAAAGGCATATAACACCACCATCTCAAGGAATCTGTCTATGGATTTACAAAAAATAAAGCTTTACGGATAAATTATTTGGAAAAAAAATAACAACAACATGAGACCGCTCTCTTACATCCCCGCCTTCCCCAAAGATTTCAGTAGCATATCTAACGAACCCAACCATACACAGTTGACTGATAACTGTAATTAAATGAGTATCCGACCACAAAATATACATAAAATGAGCAGCACCATCAGTCATATTGAACCACCTAAAAACAACCCTCTCTATCTAACTGTACATCTGCGTTTACCATAAAAAATGGACCCATTACTGCCTGTTTGCGCGACCCATGGACCACCAACTAGGTTAACTACAACCATATTAGAGAGAGAGAGAGAGAGACTCCATTTTAGTATTAGTTGCACACAGAATAACTGTATTAGCCCGTATGCAATAGAGATTAGAGAGAGAGAGCGAGGAGAGAGGGATACACCATGTCTCAGGACACAATACTACAGAATAAACCCTAAACCCAACACTTCAAAATAATATGGAAAAAAACATATAAAACCATAAAAAATAAAATAAATATCACCAGGAAAAGAAAATGGAAACACTGAACTTTCCAGATTCATGAAGAAACACCATAAAAACACAACATTAGATACCTAACAATATAAAGACAGGTCAATATACATAGATCATATGAATGCATAACATTTACCTAGTAAAAATGCAAAAAACAAAAAAAAAATCCAAAATATGATGAATAGTACAGGGGAACTCAAAGTTTACACAGATGAAATACAAACTTAATATATGATTAACCATTTTTTTTTTAGAAAGAAAAAATGAAAATGAAAGTGATGAACTATTGATCAAATAAATACAGAAATGGCACTACCAAGCTAAAAAATGATACCTTCCACTATAAAGGAGAGAGAAAAGGGAACTCTTCACATAAGAGAGAAAGAAACAGGGAGAATGGACAGTTCCAAACTAGAGAGAGAGTGAGACCTGTAAATGTTCAAATACTGAACTCTCTTCAGAAGGGACGATGGCAGAGAGGGGAATGGAATCGGAACCACAAGACAGGAGTAGAATGGTAAAATTTGATTCCAAATGACAAAAATGCCCCCGCAGAACGTCTAATTCAAAGGTTCAATGCTTTTTTGGGTAAACCAAAGCCGCGGGTCTATAAAAATGAGGCCCAAAAAACTCTAATTCGTTGAGGCCGCCAAAAAAAGACTTTGGTACTTGGGAATAGTGAAGCTATCGTCCGTTTGAGCCTCCGTCTTAGTTTTCGGATGGTTAGTGACCTTGTGCGCAAGCCCATGAAATTTTGGATTTCGGACTCGTCGCGAAATTTCGGCGATTTTCGTACGGAGAGAAAGTACTACCGTTCCCGAGTAGAGTTTTGTCTTCTTATATTTGGAAAATGGGTGAAGGCTCTATAAGGTGTCAACCTTATGCTGTTGAAGTAAGGTGTACCTCAAAACTATGTCATTGAGCTTTGCGATGATATTCAAATCTATTGTTGCTTTTAATTATGAAATTTAAAGTTAAAAAAATAGTGAAGATCTAACAAATTGATAAATACGTGAAAATTGTTAGGCTAGATAATATATTAGAAGATTAACTATTTTTAAGACTAAAAATTCCTTTTTTTTTTCATGTCATGAATCTTGAGGTCAAGATGATCGATATGAGAGTTTTCCATCATAAGAACAGCCTTCTCTAGAGAGTTTTTTAAGTGTACTTTACTCATACAGTATAAGATGGACACCTTATATAAACGTTTATCTTAAAAAACAAGTTATATCAGGTGCCAACTTTATATAAGGCACGCCTCAAAAATCCATCAAAGTTGTTTAGATGCTACAAAGCCCTCTTATTACAATCTTGATCTCGATATAATGGAATATGAAAAAGAAAATAATTTCAAATTCTAAAAATAGTGTATTTCATAACATATTCTCCACCATTATTAAAGTTTTGAGTTTCATAATTAGAATAGAGATATACTTATTAGTCATTGTTGAAATTTTTGACATCAAATGTGCATCTTTCGGCAAGGTTTGGAGGTAGCCTTTACTTGAATGGTATGAGGTTGAGAGCGCCCTTTATATTCCTAGTAACTTTTTTTTTTCATCCTACTCATTCTACACATATTCGGGATCAAAGCATGGGGCAATGTAGGAATGGAAAAAAACATTGAAACTCGTGAATTGGAAAAAAGTATGCACTTTCAAAAAAAAATAGGGTCTAGGAGTTAAAAAGTTTACATTGATAAATATTATTATGTTGACTAAATGGTGGTGGCACTTCCAAAATCAATATTATAGCTTCTGGGGAGAGATGTTAAAGGAAAAATATGAAGTAAATGTATTGACTCGTCTCATTAAAAGTCTAATATCTGAAGTTGATTTTTCAAGTATTTGTAAAGGAATTGATGTGTGATAGTCATTATATCTTAGTCATTGTTGCATAGTGGTTGGAAAGGGATATCAAACCTTGTTTTGGTTTGACAAGTAGTTGGGAGACAATGCTCTTCGAGATTCTTTCCCTGAGGTCTTCTCCAAACCGACAATCCATTAGCCTCAATCAAACATCTCAGATGAGCTAATTTTACTAACTCTTCCTGAAATATTTTTTGTAGGTACAAGAGGATCTCGGATTCTTTCTTTCATGAGTTCCGATTACTTATGAATCTGTTGCATAATTTTTTCTATGTTCTCAATAGAGATGATCGATTGGTATGGGAACTCACAGCTTCAGGGAATTTTTCAATAAGGATATCTATCGACTGCTGCATGAGGAGAATCACATAGTGACTGATCAAGGTTTAGCAATAATAAATAATTTGCAGGTGCTGCTGAAGGTTCAGTTATTTTTACGGGTAGGTCTTAAAAAAAAACTAACTACTGTGGATGACCTTGTCAATGTTTGTAGGCTATGTTTGAGGGATAATGAAAGTGCGGACCATATTATTTTATATTGTCATTTCACTCTAAGCATGTATGATTGGTGTAGAAAGTTGTTAAATATCATGATCCCACAAAGCCCAAAGTTGATATTCTCTCAATGGATGAATCCTGGTTTGTCGAAAATTGTCACCATGTTATTAAGAGTTTTATGGATGAGCACTATCTAGAACATTCGGAGAGAGAGAAATAGAAAAACATCTGAAAGAACACACAGTGATATTGAAGTTTTGAAGTCCAACACCTTAGCAACATCAGCTGAATAGTTTTCAACAAACAATGATTGTAAGTTTATGCCAAAATCACATATTTTTTAGAACCCATATGATGGTGCTAAGCTTAATAATTACAAACAGACTTGAAATACTATTTAGATGCCTCCTCATGAAAATTGCTTAAAACTCAACTTTGATGGAAGCTCGATTGGAGACCCAAGCCCAGCAGGTTATGATGGTACCTTGATATATCATATGAGTAGTTACAAATTCACCTACTCGGGACCATGTGGATATACAATTGTGAATGAAGCTGAGGCAAGAACTCTAGTGGAGGGATTAAAGATAATAAAAAACCTCGAGAGTCGAAAGATGATTGAAGGTGATTCAATCAATATCATTGATTGGGCAAGAGGAGAAATGAAGCCACATTAGAGATTATGCGGCATTTTCGATAAAAAAAATTTTCATTTTAAATAGTGGTTCTTTTGAGTTATCTCATTATTTTAGGATGACCAATATATAAACTGATGCTTTAACAAAGGGTGGTGTGTGCCAACATTTATCGGTGGTTACATCGTTTTTTTTTTAACCTCATTGTAATCGTTTATGATTATGAGTGAATGAAATTCATAGTAACTAATTTAAAAAAAAATCCAGAATTACCAATCTTCCAACTTTTTATAATTTTTAAAATTTTATTAAAAATTGGTTGGTTGCCTCCGACTCACTCGAAAGTCAAACAAGGACACTCGAGCTAGGCCCCTCGTGAATCAAAGCCCAAATCCAATTGAATGACATTGGAGGATCTTCTAATTGATTATCTCGATCTGAAGATATGGAAATATGAAGAAAAGAAGAACTTAAATCTTTAAAAAATTAATGCATAAGTTATTTAGACTATCTATTTTTAAGGTTTTCAAATTTTTATAGATTTTCTTGATCAGTATTTTTTAAAAAATTTTAAATTTATAATTAAGGATAAAAATAGATTTTCAAACCACCATAAAGTTTTTGACACCATAACTACATCTCCAAACAAATTTTAAAAGTGCACATTACTTCTACGGTATAAAGAGAGCGCCTTATACAAACCTCACTATTTCTATAATTCACTCCCCTGACGAAAATTGATTTTAGGTATACTATTAGGCCCCCAAAATTTGGTGTTGTCACATCTTCAACCCGACAACCAACCTTAAAAAAGGGAATACAATTTGTAGAGAACAGTTATTAGAAAACGCCGGGGCCGCACAAAATCCCTTTGTCCAACGTAGGAATCATTCACCCCATTCTTGTTCAACGTATATATAGGACAACGACCAGGTCTAGAAGGGAACCGGCGGTTCCGGAATCGGTCACTCCATTCTTATTCAACGTATATATAGGAAAACGGCTAGGTCTAGAAGGGAACAAGTGGGTCCGCACAATAAAACGAACCGCCGATTCAGTGATCTTGATCGGGTTTTGGCTAGTACATTGTTTTTTCACATGTTTTTTCACCAATTCACTGTTTTTTTATACAATAAAATGATGATCTAGATTGTCGATTCACCAACCGATACCGACTTTTGGGTGCCGGATCTAGGGCACTTATCCATTTTTAAATAGTATGCTCCTCTAGGAGCATTACATATATGCCATGCACTTTCCTTTTTTGGGAGACCGGACGCTTCGCCGTCCAAAGAAGTGTGCCGCTTCTTGTAGCAAAGTAGTAGGTGTATTAGTGAGTGGCACCAATTTTTTTTGGGCGAATCAGTGGGGGGGGGGGGGTGGGGGGGGGGGGAAGGGCCTCTGCCTTAGTAGAAATTGAGTTTAGGGGGTATCGTTGTAAATTATCAAACGCTAATCAGTTAGGCTCGGGCTTTTTGCCTAGCCACTAGCACCAATCACTATTGAAAAACACAATATTTGTCATATTTGTTCATGAAAAAAAGTTACCAGTGGTTGTGATTGATAATTAATAGCGGTTTAGATTATACTTAAATGTATATTGCTATTTAAACTTTAATTTTCATTTTTTAATGTAATTTTAATTTTTTATTTGATAAAATTTTGAACGTAGTATTACGACACACAAAAACAGAACGCACAAAGAACATCTTCTAAAAAATAAAATGACCAAATTACCAATGGAATATAAGGGGGTAATTCAGTCATTTAAAAATTTTAAAATATTTTTTATGTTTTCTATGACGTGTGATGGTGTCAAGCGTACTAGAGTTTCAACTGAATCCATTTTATAAAAAATATTAAAATTGACGTAATAACATGCATTCATCATTTAGTCAATCATTTAGTCAATATATAATGGACCCGGTTTCTATGCGGCCAAATCCGCATGTGTAGAAATACAGGCTTCCTAATAAATTTATTTTTGAGATAGATTTTAAGACTTAAATTTTAAAGACATGTAATCTCTAACATGGATATCACGAATATAAATAAATAATTTTTTTAAAAAATTATAAATAATAATTATAATCATAAAACATTTAAACCGTTAGTTTCTATTGGTTTTAGACAAAAAACGAGACTTACACTTTCTAGACCTCATATATAGAAATGCAGGCCAACCCGCATGAAACAATTTTTCATATATAATAGGTGGGAGTATAACTTGAACTACCTTTTATTTTAGGCACAACCTGTTGGTAGCTTTATTACTCCTTGTTGTTTATTTTTGTTAAAAATGAACAAATTTAGGAGCTTATTGTTGGTGCTTTTCAAACAAGCGAGGTTCATCGAGGGACAAGGACCAAAAAATTATGTAATAATTCCTGACCTAGTGTTCAAAATATTATTAGTCACATTTTGATGCGATGAAGAAGGTACAATGGCGCCAACTCTAAAAACCAGCAAATTTCTTACTTTACAAAAAAATTATATAAGGTGTCAATTGATTAGACACAAAATTTAAAAATATAAAAAGTTCTGCAACTTCGTGACTCACCAAGCCATCCAAATAACAAAGATAAGGGTGAATAATAATTGCTCGAAATTCTTATCAGGAATCAGAAGAAGAAGACATGGTGATCAATTGCCCTCTCTTGGTTTTTCTTCGACCTTTTTGTTTCTTTCCTTTCTATTCGTTATACTCTCCGGTGCACACTCTCTTCCACCAAAACCCTAATTTTTCACTTCAACAAGTAGGGTCTCGGCCTGTTTCTTATGCTTGTGTTTTCCTTCTTCTCAATTCTAAGATAGTAGTCCTAATATACGTGGCATAGAAACGTTTCATAATTTTTGGATTTGCAGGATTGCTTGAGGTTCGACGATTAATTGCAGGGTGAAGATTGAAGGTACGTTCTGCACACTATCTCATGGTGAAGATTACAGAATTTTCCTTTTTTACCTGGCTTGTCTTTGATCTTGTTATTTTTATGGTAATTGAGATCTTGATTGTTTGGAATGGCGTTCTTTATGCTCTTATTTTCTTCTGATTTAGTTCCAGTCCCATGGATTATATACATTCAAAGCCAATAACTGTTTCAGCACTGTTAAACTTTGTGTTTTTTTTATATTTTTTGGGCAATTGATTTGTGGTTGCACTCATTTGAATGGATAAATTAATCGGCCAAATTTTTTTTTTTTGAATGAAGTGGCTATTGGAAATTAAAATACGTAAACCTCTATCATATCTATTTTATTCCTTTCTCATCTCTCCTTTTGCTCATAGCTCTCTAAAACTGACATTTATGCGGAACCAGGTGATCTATTCCCTTCTATATTTCTCATGGTTTCTAAGCTCTATGTTTCTCACGATACAAATCTTTCTTTATCTATTTAGTTATCTATATTTCTCACGATATCAGTCTATTTTATCTCTCTAATCATCTATATTTCTCATAATATCAATCTCTATTTCTCTCTCTAAACATGTTTTTCTTTTTTCATTTGTTATATTTTTCAGAAAACCAACGAAGCTAGGCCATATACTGCAACTTATCCAAAAGGCCCATCAAAATACCTATTGCTCACAAGTATAGTTTTGAAGTTAACCTCCCCCATTTTAAGCCCTCATTACCGTGCAGTTTTCCTCTAGAAAACATGTGCAGTGGGTGGTTGAGGACGAATTCTGCATATTTGTGAAGAGTTGATCCACTGCCGTCGTGGTCCTTATCTTAAAAGCTCATAGAATGACTATTGCTAAGTTTTAATATTCCATTTTAGCCACGTAGAGTAATCTCACCAATACTTATGAAACAAATGAAGACCCAGGTTCATGAAAGAACTCTAATGAGGATTTTGGAGGCCTCATTTGAGCAGTGCTTCTCTTTGAGACCCTTCTTTGAGCATATTCAAATTATCATGTCATTTGCAATTAGGTGTAGATAAAGAACACTCATATCAGGTAATTATTGTTTTGAGCCTCTGTATATACGAATGATCCTCCTGCTAATATGAAATATCCTCATGGAAGTTATAGACTTAACGGTATTATTATTTTTCTATAAGATACTTGATGATATCATATTGACACAGGAAGAAAGTAATGGATGGACCGGCAGTCATGGCTATCAGGCATGCCTTGAGTGCACTTCGAAGGCGTCATTTACTTGAGGAAGGGGCTCATATTCCAGCTTTTTCTGCCTTGTCAAGACAATTTGTGACACAGGTAAAATCATGCTTGTTCTAGTTTTGTGTTCTGTAGATTATCATTGGTTACTGCTATGCTAAAGATAATTTGTAGCAAAAAGAATGGGGGTATAGTAGGTCTCCATGGTATCACAACATGGTCAAATGGTGTTTATTAAGTGAAATGTGAATTGACTGGTGGTTTAAGTTCTTTCCATCAGGTTAGGTGATATTATTTTTTATTTTTAAAGTGCCAATGGCAGGTTAGGTCCACCATATAATGTTTCTGATCTTCTAAATTCTTATCCTGATGATCTCCTCTATAAATTTTCTGGTTCAAAAATCTTTGAAATTTTAGTTTGTGATGTTTATGCAGATGTTGTCTCCTATAATTAGTTTTTTTGTAGATTGCTTTGATGTTGCCTTAGTTCTTGAGTTGATTTCTTGGTTTGTTTTATTAATTTTAGTTTGAGAAGTTTACCAGATAGTGTCTTCTGTAATTAGTGTTCATAGATTGTTTTGATTTCGCCTTTGTTTTTGAGTTGACTTCGTGGTTTGTTGTGTTTCTAGCATGATTGCGAAAAAGCATTAACCTTTTCTTTGATCAGGTAAACAAATGAATGGGTCATAAGTATAAAAAGTTACAATCTTATTGGGGCCTGCTGGACTTTAAGCCCATTCATTCCTTGGATAGTTTGGTTTGTAATATGTTGGATAGTCAGGTGGACTATAAGATAAACATGAATGACAATCTTTTAATACATTGATGGGTCTTCTATGGCATCTTGAGCATTCATGCCCCGTGTAAAATCTCTCCTCTGTTAATTTTTTTCATGCTTAATGAAAAATCAAAAGTTTTTTTTTTTTTGGGGTTAAAAGTTTTGCCCCTGGCAAGTCCAAACACATTTGCTTGGATAAATGAAAAGTTCTTTTGGACCTTTTCATTTCGGTTGATGTAAAATAGGTTTAAGTCTTCAATCTCCTACATATAAAGTTGTCTTGAACTTTCGACTTCTTGAGAAACTTCAGTTAATCTCCTATATAATTTAATCACTTGTGTATACTAACAACAAGCTATACACTTTTATCTTAGTTTAAATGCAATAGAGTGCTCTCTCTATTGCCTTGTAAGTTCCTGCTTTCTTTACTGCTTCCTTGAATCATGGGAACCATGCTTTATAATTTCCTTGAGCCGATATTAGTGGTCTGTGATCCTTATTTAAGATGCTTACTGAAGAATGTGCTCCTCTAGAGAAAACTTGTGATAGAGTACCTCGAGATTTGATTTGTGGGTGTTGGAAAAGAAAGGCGTCTTTAGACACTACATCGACGTGGTGAGAGATATGTATGATGGAGCGCTAATTAGTATACGGACAACTAGTGGAGAGACGAGTGACGTTTCTGTGAGAATAAGTCTACATTAAGGGTCAGCCTTGAGCCCGTACCTCTTTGTCTTAGTTATGGACGACTTAACTATGCACTTACAGGATGAGGTACCATGGTGCATGTTGTTCGCGGATAACATAGTTTTGATTGATGAAACCCGAAACGGTATCAACACAAAGTTAGAACTTTGGAGGGATACTTTAGATTCCAAAGGTTTTAAAATTAGTCAGACTAAGACAAAGTATATGGAGTGCAAGTTTAGTAATAATAGAGATGAGGAAATAGTCAAGATTGACGGCCGAAAAGTACAAAAAGACTGCACTTTCGATATCTTGGGTCGATAATCTAGGAAAACGGATAGATCAAATAAGATGTCACACACATAATTAGAGCTGGGTGGGTGAAGTGGAGATGTGCAATTGGAATTTTATGTGATCGCCTCATACTAATGAGGCTGAAGGGCAAGTTTTATAGGACAACGGTGATACCAGCTTTGCTCTATGGGACAGAATGCTGGGCGAACAAAAACAATAGACCCATAGAATGAGTGTAGCGAAGATGAGGATGTTGAGATGGATGAGTGGCAAGACAAGAAGGGATAGAATTCGAAATGAATCTATTCGAGAAAAGTTAGGCGTGGCACCAATAGACGATAAAATGAGAAAGAGTAGACTTAGGTGGATTGGTCATATGCGGTGCTGACCAAGTATAGCACCTGTTAGGATGTGCGAGTTAGTTCAAGTAGAAGGACTGAAAAGGGCAAGGAGTAGGCCCAAAAGGATGGTATTTGAAAGTAGTCTGAAAAGATAGGGGGACTTATGACCTCACTGAGGATATGACCTTTAATAGAGCAGCATAGAGTTTCAGCCCAACTAATTGGGTAAAGGCTAAAATGATGATGATGATGATGACTGAAGAATGTGCAGTAGGTAGTTCTAATTTGGCTTCTTTTTGTGGAAATAGTGCCATCATATTCCTTCATGTTTTTTTTGGGGTAAGCAGAGCCATGTAGATTACTTTTGTAAAATATCCAAGCAAAAGGGCATTTTGGTAGTCATTGAGGACATGAGGAATTCCATTTCTTTCTCTTCACTTGTTCCATAGTTGGCAGGCCTAGAGGAATCCACAAGGATGTTTACACTTGTTTAAACTATTTAAGGTTTCATTGAGGTTCTAAAAATTAACAGTACAACACCTGTTAGGAGGTGTGAGTTAGTTCAAGTAGAAGGCTAAAAAAGGACAAGTCGTAGGCCCAAAAGGATATGATTGGTAGCAGCGAGAAAAGATATGTAGACTTATGATCTCATTGAGGGTATGGCCCTTGATAGAGCAAAATGAAGGATTAGGATTTGTGTAGCCAACACCAATAGTTAGGAAAACGCTCTGACGACGACGACGACGACGACGATGATGATGATGATGATGATGATGATGTGGTTCTAAAAATTGGCAAGCTATAAGTAATGAAAATCTCGAGGAGGGTCTGCTGCTTTGCTCACATATTCCAAGGAGATTGCTGTATTTTGGCCATGAAATAGTGTGGTGTTTCTCATGAAGCAGAGACTTCATAACTCTTTTTAACTGATCAAACCCTGAGGCTTGATCGTAATTCATATACAAAGGTATGTAGAAATTACAATAAAGAGTCATCTCTGTTTTTCTTGTCCTGGAAGCCATTTTGATGAAGATGAAAAATGATGCCACACTGATCTAGGTATAGGGCAGTTATGGGGCGTGGGGGTCAAATATGGCAAATCAAAATATAAATGGAATGGATTTTTGGGGTCCCTAAGGGCCGGAGATATGCGTGTACTAAAACTAAATTTAAGAGTGAGAAGCTTCCTAGAATTTCTGTAGGTTTGAGAACGGAATTGTGAATGGCAGTGCGTGGGGTCCTAACTTATATCTTAGTTTCTCTGTTTTTTGTGAAGCTTGAAAATTTAGAGAGTTTCTATTCTATCCATTTCTTCAAAGTCAGGAAGCATATGCATTTCAGTGGTAATATACATATCATACAGTAAAAATGTCAAAGTAAAATGGATTCCTGTCGTTTATTAAGAAAACTAAATGTTTTAGAATATTATGCTGGTTGTAACATGCACTGGCGGAAAAATAATGGAACTGTTACAGAGTAAATTTTTTTGGAATTCCTTCATCCATTTTTTCTGACAATTGGAACAAGATATACAGGATTACGGGCAGTTCATTGATGAATATGTTATTACAGTCGTCATGTGAGCTTTGTCAATGGAAAATTTGTCAATATTTTCGTTTTAATTTCTTAATAAGAATACAAAGTTTAGTTGCTTGTTATTTATAGCTCTTTTACCTGTGCATCCCCAGCCCCCTAAAAAGAAGAAGAACTGAAGAACAAACAAAAAGACTACCTAAAAAAAAGAAAAAAGATGTTTTTCGTTTTTGGGAGCATGGATTCTCATTTTACCAGGAACTATCCATGCAGGGCTCAGAGTGGAAGGAGAAAGCAGAAGGCCTTGAAGTTGAACTACAACAGTGTTACAAAGCTCAAGCGCGGCTCTCAGAACAGCTTGTAGTAGAAGTGGCAGAGTGCAGAGATGCAAAAGCTTTGCTTCAAGAGAAAGAAACCAGTTTAAATGAACTACAGAAGGAAGTTGCTGAAGGAAGGTCTCGTCTGTATTTCTTAGCCATTCTATCTGTGTAGTAGCATTTTGAGTCAGCTGTCTTTTAATTAGATGCTGTTACTAAAGATGGGCCTCACTTGTTTCACAGGGATGAAATATCCAAGTTGAAGGAGTTACTAGAGGAGAACAGGAAAGCTCTTGACCTGGCTATTAGTGAAAACCAAGAGCTCAGATCACAGTTGGAAGAGGAAATTTTGAAAGCAAGGAATGCCGAATCTGAAAACAAGATGCTGATTGATCGGTGGATGATGCAAAAGATGCAAGATGCAGAACGACTCAATGAAGTAAGTTTCCTTTTTTTCTTTTTTTTATCTTGTGAATTTTTCCTTACCTTTCATCAGTCCATTTGTGGGTGTAAGTATTGGAGTAGGACACTATAGGAGACTAAACAGGGGAACCCACTCTGTTTCCGACAATGGTGGAAATCCACTATACTTATGTGCGACCCACTACACTGAATCTCTAGGCATCAAATATGATATCTGGTACTTCAAAGGGACATGCTCCATCCATTCCCAGTGATGGACTGTGGAGATCAACTGTGCCTGGGTGGATGGACAGCCAAAGTGGGACCACCATGTTTAATGCTGATTGCCGCATCCCCCTGTTGGGATGCTTACCATACCCCATTGAATTGTGGTATACTTGAATATTTGCTTACCTTACCCCATTGGATTGTGGTATACTTGAATATTTGCTTGGGAGTAATAGGACTTTGCCATAGTCCATTCATGACATGTGTGATGATGAAATGATATGAGTGTGATGAAGAGAGTGCGACCCACCATGGAGATCATGCCCTATTCTATTGTGTTCCTCACCTTCACTGTCTAATTGAACAGTCAGTCTTACGTTCAATGGACTAAGATTTTCTGTAGTTCATTGGACTGTAATGACTCTGGTTGTCTTTCTAGGCCTGAATATTTGGAAAGCGTACCATTGTCTGATATAATATTATATATGGCACCTCCACCCATTGTCTGTTCCTGATGGGCATTGGAGATCAACTGTACCCTCTGAATTACCCAAAAAAAAAAAAGAAATATCAGTCTGCTAAATTTGAGGGAAGCTTCTCTCTCTCTCATCTTATTCTCTCACCCTGCCACAGGCCAATGCCATATATAAAGAGATGATGGACAAGCTCAAGGCCAGCAACATGCAACAGCTAGTGCAGCAACAAGTCGACGGGGTCGTCAGGCTGAGTGAGACTTGGACCAGCGAGGCACTGACTGACCTTCCCTCACCTACATGGAAGCACAGGCTCCAAGCCCATGAAGGTGCATGTGGCTCAATCCTCTTTGAGCCCAACTCTGACTGCCTCATAACCGGAGGGCTTGACCAAATTATCAGGGTATGGGATACAAGAACCGGTACCAATACGAACACCCTAACTGGCTGCCTTGGTTCAATTCTTGATCTAGCCATAGCCCGCGATAAGTGTATCATCGCAGCAACAAGTTCGAACAAAATGTTTGTGTTCGACCAACTCTCAAGGCGACTTAGTCACACCTTAACGGGCCATCTTGACAAGGTTTGTGCAGTTGATGCGAGTAAGGTTTCGGGCAAGAGCCTGGTAAGTGCAGCCTATGATCGAACCATTAGGACTTGGGACCTTGTCAAGGGGTATTGTACTGCAACTCTTATGTGTCATAGCAATTGCAATGCGCTTTGCTATGGGATCGATGGGCAAACTGTGTTTACAGGGCATGTTGACGGCAACCTGAGGTTATGGGATTTAAGGGTTAGTGGTGGAGGGAAAATGGTAAGTGAGGTGGCAGCTCATGCTTATTCGGTGACATCGGTTTCTCTCTCTCGCGGTGGCTTGCTAGTTCTAACCAGTGGGAGAGACAACGTGCATAACTTGTTTGATGTAAGGGCCTCACTGGAGGTTTGTGGGAACTTCAGGGGAGGGAGCGGAAGCGCGACCAATTGGAATCGGTCTTGTATTAGCCCGGACGACAATTATGTGGTGGCAGGGTCGAGTGACGGTATGGTGCATGTTTGGTCGAGGAGAGAGAAGGGTGAAATTGTGAGCATGTTAAGAGGGCACGAGGCTTCGGTGCTCACATGTGCATGGAGTGATACGGGGGGGCCTTTGGCATCTGCTGATAAGAAGGGGGCCGTGTACTTATGGGTGTGATTGGTGGGGGTTCCACTTCGGTTTAATGGGGTGTGCCTATAGTTGTGATTTGTGAATGGGTTTTGAAGTTTACTGACAAGAACTGGTTTTATGGTTGTGAACAGAGTTTTAAAACCCAGAATTTGGTTTTGGATCACCTACTCACTGTAAAAATCTAGATTGGCTGGATCGATGATCTCAACTTAGTCAAACCCTAACAAAATGGGAGTACCATGCGTGTTAAAGGTGATCAAATTACTGAAATGTCGTTTTGCTTATTCAGGGAACATAGGCAATTTGGAGACATTTTTTACCTAAGGGACCGTTTAGATCCATGGAAAAAGATTATTTTTTTTGAAATCTATTAAATAGATATCTGCTGTTTCAAAATTTTTGTAGAGAGAAACTATCTCAAATTTTAAATTTTAGAGAAAGTACCTGAAAATATTTAGAGAGAGAAACTATCTCAAACTTTTTAAAGAGAACCATCCTAAAATTTAGGTTTTAGAGAGATAAACTACCTCCAAATTTTATTGCGAAAAAAAGCTATCTCAATTTTTTTAAAAACTATCTCAATTTTTAAGTTTGAGAGAGAGAACCTGAAATTTTTTAGAGAGAAATATCTCAAATTTTTTTCAGAGAGGAACTATTTCAAATTTCAAGATTTAGAGAGGAAGTATATTAAAATTTCATAGAGAAATTATATCAAATATTAGAGAAGGAAATTATCTCAAATTTTAAATTTTAGAGACAGCAAGTATCTAAAAATTTAGAGATAGAAAACAATCTCAAAAATTTTAGAGAGAAATTATCTCAAATTTTTTAGAGAAAAAATCTATCAAATTTCAAGTTTTGTAGAGTATCTTAAAATTTTAGAAAGAGCGAAATTATATCAAATTTTAAAGAGAGAAATTACTTAAATTTTTTTAGAGAGAAACTAACTTGTATTTTAAGTTTTAAAGAGAGAATTATTTTAGAATTTTAGAGAGAGAGTACCTGGAATTTTTAGAGAGAAATTTATCTAAAAAATTCTAGGGAGAAGCCATTTTAAATTTTAAGTTTTAAAGAGAAAATATTTTAAAATTTTATAGTAAAACTTATATTATATTTTAGAGAGAGAAACTATTGAAAATTTTTTAGAGAGAAATTATATAAATTTTTTTAAAGAGAGTGATAAAAATGACATTATAATGAATAATAAATTCAAAGCACTTAATGATTTTTTTTTTTTTTTTTAAGCCATGAAAATGTTATGCATCCATGGATACAAGTAGTCCCCAAGTGAAATAAAAAAAATAAAATAAATCTTCTAATTTAATAGCCATCTTTTAAGGATTCGGTTTGTATAGAGCCGAGGCTCTAAACAATCAAAGTAAAGTGCAGCTTCAAATAATATCGAGAAATTTGGTTTTAATAATGAAAAATTTTGTGATGGCTTTCAAATATATTTTCATCATTAATTATAAAATTTAAAGCTTAAAAAATTGTGCAAATTGAGTAGATTTATGAAAACTTGAAAATTGATGGTTTAAAAATGCGTGACAAGATGTACTATTTTTAAAACTTGAAATTTGTTTTTTTTTCTCACGTCCATGTGTCTTGAAGTCTAGATGATGAATTTGAGGATATTTGAGCATCAAATCAACCTCTTCTAGTGAATCAATTTGAGGATATTTGAGCATCAAATCAACCTCTCCTAGTGAATCTTTTGAGGTGGGCTTTAATTTGATTGCTTAGAGCCTTGGTTCTATATAAACTTTTTCTTTCTTTTAATCTCCATAAATTCTCTAATCTGCCTTGAAATATTTTGATCCCCTACTGATTTCGTGGGGATTTTGACCCTTAAATATTATTTTCTCTTTTCCAAGTACGATCATCGACTTCAATCAATATACGGAAAAAGTTTATATAAGGATGTAATTTTATAATGTAGAACTATGACGCCCCTCAAAAATCTATCGAAAAAAGTAGTTTTAATGTTGAAAAACCTTTTGATTAATCATTTCGACATCTAGATGTATGAATATGAAACATAAAAATATTTGAAGTCTCAGAAATAATACATTTTACAACATATTATCCACACTGTCCATTTCAAGATTTTCATATGCTTATAGATCTACTTGATTTTAACTATTTTTGAAATTTTAAATTTTATAATTAGATATAAATATAAATTTTAAGATAATCTTAAAAATATTTTATACAGACTTATATACCATGATAAAATTTAAAGATGCACCTTGCCCTACACCTTCGGATGCATCCCGATGCCAACTGAACCCTTGCTTGTATATGATATGATTGGCTCCTTTCTTACTCCAAGTTCAATACCTTTTACATGCATTGCCACTCGATGAAGTCAAATATAATTCCTCTCAATTTAAAAATTAATAATTTAACCCCTCTCTTTCTCGATGAAGTCAAATATAATTCCTCTCAATTTAAAAAATAATAATTTAACCCCTCTCTTTCTCTCTCTACCATGTCCCGTATAGCAAAATAGAGAACTCTCTCTCTCTCTAATGAGAGTGGTTGAGGCTTTATGGGAATATAAAACTGCAGCATCGCAGGCTACTTTGAAATTGGAATGCGTCCATGCATCAATTTCTCAATTCTTAGCCTAGTTTACGGAGATGAAATTAAACAATTCTTCTTTAAAAGTCTAAAAATTGAGAATGAAATCAGCCCACTGTTACAAGACCAAGAGATATCTTTGTATAATATTGGTACCGTAATAATGGCTACTGAGGGCTGCCAATGGCCCTAGGGGCTTCCCCGGAAAAACTTGAGTCAATGGCTACTAAGGGCTGCCTGGCTGGCAATGAGCTGGGTGGCCCTGCCTGAAAAAACTTGAATCAAGCCAGGGATGACAGCTGGGCCACCTAGCTAAGGGCTTTGGGCTAGGCCCAATCGAGCCCCCTTGGCTAGGCCAATCGAGCCTATTGCTGGCCTTAATGGCCAACCTCGTTATTGTTATTCAAGATGATTTATTATTTAGTGGACAAAGTTTTTTTTTTGAATGTTATTTATCCAAATTTTTTTAATGTTTGATCCCCACTCACAACCTGTAACATTTGCACCATCTATATAAAAAAAATGAAAAAAAATATGTAATGAGACAATTTATTTTTGGTACAAAGTGGTCAATTAATCTTGACCATTAGGTGTGACATTAGATGGCTATATTTTATTTATTCCATTGACCAAGCTCAAACTTCAATTTTTTTTTTTTTCGAACTTTGTGACACACCCAAGTTATCAAATCTCTATAAGTAATTGTGACTTTTTTGTATCAAAGGTAGATTGAGGACAATTCCACAAATTGAGGACAATTGATTAATATGCCTATTAGAGATTAACAATTGAACACTTTACCCATGTCTGTGTAATTTAATTTAAAAATATCCATCAAAATACATATGATTTGAAATAGTTGCAAATGTGTAAGATGTTACATATTACATCTCTCGTGAGTATTTTGTTAAATTTCCCTAAAATTAGTAAATGCATATCAGCATTGTCCAATTGATCATTATTTGATTGTACAAACAAATATTCTCAAAATGATCGCAACCATCTCAGGCTTAGAGAGAGAGACATCCAACTATAACAAATGGTACATCTTTGATGGTTTAACCCCATCTGTTACATTAAAGTACCTCAGCACTTGAGCCCAAGTGCGCTTATTCTTGAGCCTGTGCACCCCAATTGTATCAGGCATGTATTCATGAGAGCAAGTAGTAAGACCAGGTACATCATACATCCTTGGTGTAGCAGTAAACCTGTTCTTGGCTCGATTCCCTTCATTAAACCACTCACTAACAAGTTTATCTTCAAACCCCTCTGCGTGGTTTCTTGTTATGTTTGATATACCGATCCATTCCACTAAGTCCCATGATAAAATGTAACCCATGCCTCCCATGTATCCGAAGAATGGGTCTGTGCTTTTGCATGGGATCACGCGCCCATAGTAGAAGTCGGTTCGAGGCAATGGATCGAGCGACCTAGCCAGCACGTCAAGCCTGCATCAAAGGTTCAAAATTTTAGTATAATGGGTCATAAAGGCAGGGATTTTTTTTTTGTTTTGGATAAAACGACTGCAGGTTTTGCCCTTCTTAGTCACCTGGCCATGGGGTGGAAACGGGCATTGCACCCTGGTCATAAAAGGCTAGAGCAGAACCTTGTAGTTTAACGTTATGCCGTGAGGATGATATGCCATAACTAACGGGGGCAATTAATTTTGCGTGACAATTTTTACAAAAATTACAGGAGAATTTCTTGGCTGAGGCAACTTACTTCGGTGAGTCTTAATGACCCGGTGCGTCTTAATGACTCGCCCAAGTGTTGTATAGAGCAAAGAAGCCCTATAATTTTTTTTTTTTTAAAAAAAAAAAAGAATAAGACAAAGGTTGTAAAAGTAAAATAAAAGCAACTGCAATTTTGAAAAGTCCAAATAAACTTGAAAAAGTGATTTAAAAAATTAACTCATAGTTGGGGATATTAAA